ACTGCCAAAACCTATGCTCTGATACTAAACTGACACACCCCGACCGGAGTCGAGGTATACTGGCCGTCACCCGAAGGTGACATAACTAAAAATGTAAGTGATGTAAAAATATCGAAACTAGAACTTATGTAAACTAATAAAGTGAGTGCGCAATATTAGGTAGAACCCATAGAATACAAATATTCAGAGCACAGACGACAAAAGGGTGTGCAGCAGAAACTAGTTAAGTACTTCATACATAACAGGAATAGTTCCTACATTTCATTATAGATATGTCAGAACCGTCGGAGATTCCTCGTATGCCACAAAGAGTTCAGCTATCTAAGACCTAGAGGGGCGAAAAAAGCAGAAGGGTGAGTGGGCAAAAACAAGGGTTTATAAAACACATTTATTTTCTTAACATACTGACCCCTTGCTGTATAACATGTATAGTTTCTAGAAAATCATACTACATATAAGTATGAAATCAAATGCAAATCAACAATAATTCCATAAATATGCCAATCACAATATCTTAACAGTAGCATAACAGAGGTTGGAGTCGCCTAATGCAACTTGTACGACTGAACTGATGCTCATCAATCTATGCTAGCATACAAGTTGGAGTCGCCAAATGCAACCTGTACGATTGAACTGATGCTCATCAATCTATGCTAGCACACAAGTCGGAGTTACCTAATGCAACTTGTACTACAAGACTAGGTGTAATCATAATATACGCTTTAGTGCTACAATCATGTGAAGACTAGCGTTATTTGCGGTCATATACGAGTCGGAGTTGCCTATTGCAACTTGTACGACATGACAAACACCTACTTGGATCCAAGGCGAGCATGCGGTGCGGATGTGAACATGCACGTGAAAGACTGGCCCTAGCCCTGGGCGAGCACTAACACCTGGTGTAGCAATGATGAGCAGACTACATAAATATAAGCATGCCATAACAATTCAATAATTCTAGTCAACATAATAAACTTACATACGCATCCCGTAGTATTATTTTAGCATTTCACAATAGTACAACATTTCTTATAACATTATTTAATCATGGCATAATAGGCATGAATCAATTCAAAAGCATTTGTGGAAACTATAAAACTTTATATATCATATATATAAAAACAAATGCCCACTCACTGATACGTGGTCGGATCGTAATCTCCTAGCCTCGCTTGTCCTCGTACCTCCTCGGGGTAATTTGTACCTAACAGTGTTAGAATATTTCGTTAACTTTAACAGAATATTCCCCTTTTTCTCCGGTCTTCCTCTGCCGTCTGGTTCATCGAAAATTGGGGAAATCTCGCTGGTTTCTCTTAAAAGTCTAAAAGGTGGATGGAAGTGGATCAAAATCCACTCGACACTCTCGGCCTTACTTTCGTTGTCACAAACTCGAGGGTCTCCTCATTGGCTCCACTTCAAGACTAGGCTAATGGCCACGGGGAGTTAACTAGAAGCTTCCAACACTCCCAAAAATGTGCAACACGGCCTGAAACACATCGCAGTAAAACTTACTGAGTCGGAGCTTTCGAGTCGACGAGTCAAAACTCAATCATTTTCGAATCGGCTTGTACAACCGAGTTCGTGGGTTCTAGATGAGTGTGATGGTGGTGTTTTTGGGTTCGATCTGCAAGTTTTGATGATGGTGTGTGTGTGTGTTGCAGAGGGGAGAGAGTCACGAGCAATGGAGAGAGAGAAGGAGAAGGTGAGAGAAAGAGGGAGACAGCTTTCTAATTGGGCAGGGAGAAGAGGAAGTGATCTGATTGGTGGAAAAGAAAGAAAATCTGATTGGCTGAGGGAATTGAGGAAATGAACTGATTGGGGTACACGGGTCAATTTTAAAGAAGAAACACGGAAGGTTTTCAGATTTTGTATAGTAATTCGTATACAAAAATCCGTCACCTTATAAAAAATAGTGTTTCCAACACTGATAAATTAACACACGCGTGTACAACTCTACCCATTATTAACGTACTTTAACTGTGTGCAATTTTTTCGTTACAGATCCGATTCAGGTCTAATTCATACTCACACGATCGTAACAATGAGTAGTAATTAATTACGATAATAAGAAAAACAAATTAAAGCCGAATAACCATGTCCATGTCACTTTGCCCACAAGGGCATAAATGTCAATTTACACACTCGGGGAGAAAATTACATGGGAAAATTAGAAACAGGTTGTCACACTACATACGCGCTCAAAGACATTAAACAATTACTTGGAAACTCTTTGAAGCAAATGCGCATTCCCCTCTTTTTTTGGACCAAATAGACAAAACTTTTTTTTTTTTTTTTGATATTTCTGAACAGATGAAAATAATATTCATAAATTGGATGTGAAAAAACACAAAATTCACAATTTCGAATTATACAAAGAAAAAGAGAAAAGAAAGCGTGAAAAAAAAAAGATGAGGACGAAAAAGAAGAAGACAAAAGAAAGGAGAGAGTGTGTATACAAATAGCGGAAGCTTGGGATAGTATTTTACTTGCTCAAGTAATGAGAGGTTTTTTGTTAGCAACCCAATCAATTCTTAGAAAATATTATATTACCTTCAGTGATAATAGTTAAAAAATATTGTCGGTGTACTACTAATAATCTAATTCAACTCAAGTTTTGTGGGTGTCAACGTGATCTCCTGATAGCTGGGATACAGTTAGGATGATTGCCCATGTAAGGAGATGTCCCGCTTACTAGAGAATCCATTCCATAAAGCACTAGGGCTATCACTAGTTGGAGATATGGTTCTAAGTAAATAGAAGGCTTTCCTTGTGAACTAGGGTGTTATAAAGAACCTTGCAGGCACATCGTCTTCACCAACTAGCATGTCTTCTTCAGGTAATCTCATGAATTATGATCTTCTCTATCGTAGCAATGTTGGGTTCATATTGGTGTGTGTGTGTGTGTATATATATATTGTTGACAAACCCAATGTTTCTTGAAATACAAGTTCCATTTTTATACCATTTCAATGCATGTAATCCACGTACGAGCTAACCCTATTCTATCCAGTTATAACAAGAAGCACTACTGGGTTCTTTTTGTTCAGAAGGGGGAAAAGCCAAGGAAGGGGAGGCTGCGGAAAAGGTTAATCGTTGAGGGCTACTGAAGCTAATAATTTCTCTTTTGAAAGGTTAGGGTTATTGCTGCTAATGGCTGCGAAAAGAAAAAAAAAGAAATAATAAAAGAGAAGGCACTGAAACTTCTGGGGGAGGAGGATGAGTTTCAGTCAGCAGAAACTAAAAGCGGCTTGGGGTAGGTCACGGTCAGCACAAGGAAATATTTAAAAAAAAAAAACGACAAAAGGACTGGTTCAAAAAGGTGTGGGCCTTCGCCCCTCCTTTTAGGCTGGATCTTTTCTTTGTGCCCAATTCTTGATTTGACTTTGGGCCTAACAAAAAATGAGTGCCCAAGGCATGCGCTCTTTGTAATGGAGCTGTCCAAATTTTTGGGTTGATTACTTCCATCAAACAAAAAAGGCATGTGGGCCTAGCAGCCAAACAAAGAGAGTTTGGGCTGCCACTTAAAATAGAATAGGTGGAACTTCGGTCCTTCGGCACCTCGACAAAAATTAAGGCACCTCTTTCAACGACTTTCTTCACTCAGAGACTTGGAGGAACTCCCACTATAAACTACTACACTTCAGTACCCTGAAGTTTCGTGATTACTCAATGACGTAGGATTTTACAAATCCCCAACTGAGAAGCTTTTCTCACTCGAGAACTTATGGGAGCGCACTGTTTGTATCATACTTCACCAATCCTGAAACTACCGAGCATCGATCAACTTCATACCTTCAGGGACCCGCTGAAGGGTTCATGTTGTGGCACCCTTACTGAAGCACATGAGTTTCTTTCCAATCAAGAGACCAATCACCACATGGCACACGTCAACATTAGAATAAAGCTCCTAGAGTCCCATCTCGACTGCGGATAAAAGCATGCAACTCTTGTCGACTGTAAAAGAAGATTATTTTCCTACAGTTAATCCCTAATGTCATTATTGTACTAAAACTCATCATTAAAACTCACTAATGATGATTATGCTTGAACCTATGTATTGGTAAACTCCACTATTAATGAGAAGTCCTCTACCCTCGTGGTCGTAGCCCAACTTAGGGTGAATCATGTACATCATGAGTTTGCTTCCCTATCTTTATATTTCTACGTATTTACCTACACTTAGTGGCTAGAGCAACCATGCGAAGGTTACAAACTTGATACTTTAAATTGTTCTAAAGTCTCATCGATTTTGTGTATCAACAACATCCATCACCGAACTCATCTTCAGGGCGAGAATGCCCTTCAAGCCTTCGTCTCTCACAGTAGAAACACATTCAAAAGCTTTTCATAGCTAACCCATGATAGGGTTTCCATCATCTCCATTTACACCCCGCACCCTCTTCAGTGGGAACCTTAAATCAATCTCCAACAAGACCTTCACAAGCAACCTATTCAGACCATTCAAAGTAATCTCATCCACTTTCATAGAGACCCCCGATTGCTTGAGTGATACCCTTGATAATATCAACATCCTTGTATTGGATAGGAATTCGTGGGAGCCTAACCCAGAGATGGAATTCGCTGATGAGTTCTCATCCTCATCAGCGAAGTCCACCGCAAAACACCTATGCTCAAAGTGGTCAAAGGAGACAGTATTCTTCATACCATGTTTCCATATTAGGCCAAGCTTCCTCTTGATGACACGGGCATCGACTGGCCACTCAAACATATTCCCCGTTAGTACTCTACTTCTCATCTGATCAACGTTGATGGCTGAGAACAAGCCAGTTTGAACTCTAGTAATTCCCAAGTTTTTATTCGACTTCTGCAATCAAATCAACCTCCTCCGTGTCGTGTTTGATCTCTCCATTCGGATATCAAGAGAATGTTACAATGCTTTCGGGTGTAGAAAATCCATCATGCGTTTAGAGAAGCTAATTTGGTGGTGGATGTATTGAACAATCAAATCATTCTTCAATTATCGAAAGCTTAGCAGACAATTGAAAACAAAATCCGAAATTCCCAATTGCTCATTGTCAAAAATGATTCCTAGTACAACCTACACATATCAACCTGTCCTAAAGCTTCAAAAGCAGAGGCAAGAAGAAGAAAAAAAGTACGATGCACGATTTCTTTGAACACTATTGGGTGGAACAAAATGTTAACATGGGGTAAAAACAAAATCAAAATGACCTTGGCCGCGTGGTGATAGCTCCGGTCTTGAAAACCAGCATAGTTATCTTTCTTTGAGCAAGAGTTGCTAAACTGAAGTCACAGCTATGTCTCATCTCATGTTCCGCATTTCTAAAGTCTTCAAGAGAAAGAAAACATTTTCATTTTCGATGTCAACATTCTCTTCGCTGAAGCCAATCCTACAATTCTCTCGAGCTGAAATGCAATAAGAGAAAAACAAAAATATACTTAAATAATGGGTTTTTCCTTATTCACTGGCCCGAAACCAAACAAGCGAGCAAAATAGAGAATCTAATTCATGTTCACTACATCAGGGACGGTAGAAAAGGCAACAGGAGATTAACACAATTTCATCATATCGTTCAGACTCACATCATGATGTTAGGCAGTTTCTTTATTCAGTTGATGAACTGTGCCAGTTTCTAATATAACGGATCACTGAGAAGTTAAACATTCAAAACTCCTAGCAAGTTAAACAACTACCCTATCTCATCCTCACAATCAAAGAACGATCCAGCACACTTTTAAGAAATATTACCCGAAGGAGGTCAAATTGAGAAAAGAGCACCGTGCATGCCATGTCATTGGACCCATCAAGCATATTAACAACCTGCAATTAAATAAAAAGAGCGTTTTGGTTCAAGAAAAGAAGAATATGACTGTATCTCAAAATGAATTATATAAAGTATCAAAAGACAGACGCTTCATCATTATTATTTTTTAATTTGGTAGCTCTCCAGTTGAGCTTCTTAAAGAGGACGACTATTTGTATCGCGCTCACCTCAGGGTAAAATTCCTTTCTCTCAGGCAGAGAATATAGGATTAAATTCTGAATGCCACGAATCTACTCACAAGAGAATAATCGTATGTCAGCAAAGAGGCTCAAAATACTGATTTTAAACTTCAGCAAAATACTTTCCAAGTTAAACAACAATATCCAAAATGGAAGGACACAATATCATCAGCATTTGGACAAGAAAATTATGCTCAAAGCAGTCTAAAGAACCTTATATCTGTGGTAAAAATGTGATCTCTCAGTGTAAAGCATTATCTTCTGCTTTCCTTCAAAGAACCAAACCCGTGCACAAGAAATATCACTTTGCTCTGCATATCTAAGGAGCCATGGAAAATTTACTGCGTCACTGCATTTACGACCGCACAACCATCACAACATAAATAGGACAGGTTCTTACTCATGAAGTAAACAGAAGGACGCACTCTGTGACTTCAAAAAGTTCCGAACTCGAACATATTCAAAGTAAGAACTGATAAATATCATAATCCCACCCTGAACGAAAGTTTCAAAGGAAAGATATCATGAAATATTCCAAGGATCATTCAAGGACAATTTAAACAAAAATTTATTGAAATTTGCAATTTTAAAATTCTTAGGCCTCAAATAATTACCTCAACAGAATCTTTTTACCTTTGGGAAGACCTGAAAACAGAAAAACACCAAACATCTCAAAATCTGAATAAGAAGATGGAAAAAAAAATAAAGCTAAACTCAAACAGTCAAGCGCAGTGTTAATTTCAACTTATCAAGATGCAGCAAATTCAATGATGTGGGTAGGAAATGGGTTAAGATATGGGATTTTTTTTTTTCTTTCAAAAAAGACTAAATTTATATCAGCAACTTTTCATATTCTCTTCCAACTTCAAGTACAAGTTGTTATAGGTAATACAAACATTTGTCCCCGTCTTCCTAAAAGGCGAGGCACAAAATTATTTAGGGTAGTCCTTCCGCACACCCATCTTACTTCTCACACCCCTCTAATTTTCAGCCGTCGGATCAAATGAATTGAACAATATCAACGCCCAAAAATTAACAAGGGTGTGTGGGAGGTAAAAATGGGTGTGCGAATAGCACTATCCATTATTTATTTCCATAGATTTGAAAACACAAAAACTGCCGGAACTGTAACTTAAAAATTAAAACTTGATCTTTTCAAGAAATTAAGGGGTTGTTTGCTATCCTTCTTGAATTTTTTTGTTACTGAAACTAATGAGACCTTGAATTTAAGTAATTTAGCTACATTCATCATTTTTTGAAACAAAAATTGGATCCAAGGAGGATACCAAACAGGCCCTAACGAATTCTTCTACAAGATGGTTCTATCAAATTAATAACAAATTATCTAGCCACAAGTTATAGAGACCTTCTTTAATGAGTCTAACTATAGCAATTCAGAAATCAAATTATAATTGTTCAATAACAACAAACTATAAAGTCTCTTGCAATTAAGGAACCTCCTGGGGAACAGAAGAAACCTTCATAGTAAAATATTCAAAACGAGCATCATCAATATGTTGTATCGAATCTGCATCAAACCGCTGATAAATCTGTAAGGTCGAAAAGTAACAAAGTGAATTAGTTGATGAAGTTAATCCAGATCTGAAACAGAATTTAGGAATCAACCTAATTCCTTACACTTTAAGAAGAAACTAAGTACAGTGATACATATATTATATTTTTTTTCTCGGTAGCCCCATCCCCTAACATGATAAATATTCAAATCACACCAGGAAAAGAAAAGAACACTTCAGAGAGTCTCAATGTTGTGTGACCCATATTCCCAACAGGTTCTCAATGAATGAACCCAAAACATAAATCAATAAAGAACAAATCCACTGATTCCATGTTTTCATTTCAAATCCACCTTAACCACTTGGAAAGCCAATTATCAGTAACAAGAAAGAAAAAAGGAGCAGAACAGAAATTGACAATTTATTTAGACAGTACATTCAGCGTCCTATTTATGTGAAGAAAGGCAAATAAAGGATGACAAATGCCTCTAAGGAAATCAGAAGATAGATCGATAAGACCTCTAAATCAGAAAAGTTAATAGGTCCAAGAAACAAATAAACTCAACTTGAATGAGAACGGTCTTAAGTTTTGATGCTATTGTCATATGAGTCGAGAGAATAACTAGAATCTAGAAATTTCAAGTAATGAAATACAAACATGGAAACTAAATTAATCAGAACAAAACACCCCTTGGACATTAGTCACACGCAATGTTTTAAAAGACGCACCCCGAGGCGCGCCTAGACGGCTCTAGAGGTGGGGCGGGAGTGATAATGCCTCTGCCCAGTGGGAGTGGGCGAAAACTCACCGAGGCGTTGTTGAGGCGAGACTAGGCGGCTAAGGCGCTCCTAAAGGCGGTTGGCAAGCGTTCCCAGATCCATCCGCGACCCAAAATCGAAGTCAACTGCTCTGTTTTCAAGCTCTGCCATCTGGGTTTAGGGTTGCAGGCTGTGCGGCGTCTTCACGAGGAAGACGACCGCGAAGGAGAAAGATTTTTTGTTTTTTTTTAAAGACTTGGTCCAAAACGACGTCGTTTTGGCCAAGTCTTTAGTCGTTTTGGACCAAGTCTTTAATTTTTTTTAAATGACTTGGCCCAAAACGACGTTGTTTTGGCCAAGTCTGTTTTTCTTTTATTTTTAAAACCCCAAGAGTCTCTGTTTCCTCTGTTTTTCTCACCTGTTTCCTCTGTTTTTTTCAGCAATCCTCTATTATTTAAGGTCCCGTAAGGCTTCGCCTCATGCCTAGGCTGGGCTATCCCTCGGACGCCTCGCCCATGCCTCACGCTTTTAATACATTGGTCGCATGAGAGACAAAAGGTACACTATGAAATGCAATTGAAGGACGACATTCCAAATAAATGTGGGGGGATGCTCACAGAACCATATGCAGCTATTTTTCGTTTACCTTGTGTTATAATTCAAGTACAAACCACTTTGACCCATATATTTTCACTGGAAAAGAGTTGCATCAACACATCAGAGGGGGTAAAAGATACCACAAAACCATCCACAAATCAAGTGAAAAGAAAGTTTTATGAGGCATACCTGGCGGACTTGAAGTATCACTTTAGGAAGAATTCCTTCATGTTCATGTACCAGCTTCACCTATAGATATAACAAACTCAGTATTTTAGAATTTTTGCGTTCTGTGAACCATAAAATAAGCATTGCCAATCTGAATATTTTAAGGAAAACAGAAATTGAAGTTTTCCTTTTGCACTGTGTTGGCAAACAGCCATTTTATTTTAACTGATAGTTTTTTCATTAATTTCATGTTTTCTACTCATATCATTTAATCCATTGTACGACCAGTGGACAGCCCAGAATTATAGGAGGAGATATATAGCTATAATAGATTTCTTATAGTCCAAATCTATGCACTAACTAAATAGATAATTATGCTCTAAATATTTATTCTTAAACATACCTTCCCATGGTAATTATTACACTGCTTGCTGAACAAATTGTTAATATCTGCAGTAGAAAGCATAGGGTTAAAGGCTGATCAAGAACTGGAATATTGTCGATTATCTTATAAATTTGAATTTTTATCACGATTAACATCAATTTACAAGAAAGCAAAAGATTTCACAGTTACCATCAAAGAAAAGGAGAAATCTTACCCGGATTTGAATAATAACTCAAGAGTATTGTTTGCCTATAGAAATGTGCATATCCATCCAGGTACCTGACCATGAAAAACATTGTTGAGTTGGTCTTCATGACATGTGATATGGACCAGTATCTTCACAATCAAATTTCCAATCGGAATACAACGTTTGCATTGTGTATTCCACATCTTGAGATGTTCATATCAGTTTAGGTTGTATAGGAAGCACTTTGTTGTTGAATTATAAGCAGCGAGCTGATTAGTATTAGTGAATAAGCCATGTGTTTTTAATTGTGTATTCACTCGAGTGTAAGAATGCCAAGTGTAAGGCCATAAGATGTAAGGCTACGAATGCCATGTGTAATGATCCTAGTTATTAGCTAGATGAGTGGCTGAGATCACTTTGCAGAGAGAGAATGCAGCTGAAATTTTGTAACCATTATGTAGTGCTCATTTCGAGCATGGTTGGTACAAATACAATCAATGAGAGCATATTCCTCTGTGATTTGCAGAATGAAAGAAGGAACGACTTTCTGTTTTGTTATTTCTTTGATATTTTTTCTTCTTTGATTTCCATTCACTAAGCATAATTCGAATTACACTAACATTTGTTACTAATAGTGTGAGGGAGGAAACTAAGGATAAATTGCCACGCCTGGCACAAAACAGTGTTAATACTTGAAAAGATGGACAACAAAACATACCACGGTCTTATCCGCATGACATCAGTCCCATGCTGTTTAGATGGTATGCGGTTCAACTGTTCAACAGCAGACTTCAAAAAGTCCCAGTTCTGGATTTTTTTTAATCAGAAAATAGAAGATATAAATTTTGCAAGCACCACATATTTCAAGTAGATAATTGATCACACTATTACCTGCATCGTTACAACATCTGCATGATCAATAACTAGAACCTGCCACATCAAAGACATATACCTCCATCAATGGAAGGGAACCATTAAAGCATAGGAAAAAACCCCATGATAAGCATACAAGCATACTTCCAAACACTGACAGGTTGGTAAGATATATTACCTCTATGGAAGAAAGATAATCGACATCCTTTTCTTTGTTTAATTTAGCCTCATCAATTTTCTGCAAAAAATAGAGGTCTAGACTCATTATAATAGTTATAAAGGAAGTGTAAGCCAATCACAAACGTAAACAAATGACCAACCTCCAACCTTAGAATATATAGAGAAAGTCCACACGCCTTTATTTAGAAAAAAGTAATTCATTTTAAGATTCTTGCAAAGGAGTTGGTACCTTCAGTATGAAAGTTGGTTATACAAACTAGAGACAATTATATAATTATCAATTCTTTTTAGTTTCTTTCTTGGGAACCTTCTGTTTTCTAGTTGTTATTTAGAGGTGAGAAGGCTAAATGTGTCTTTTAACATATCTTAACTACTTTGATCTAAAAGAAAGTAATTTTCAGAAGACAAGCGTGTCTGCATATATTCAAATAATTATGGGAAATTAGGTAATCAACTGAAATATAAACGTGCAAGTAATACGTCTATTTCATAACAAGCCACCAGGGGAAAAATCAGACTAGGAACTTTGAAAGTGAAAACAAAGCTGATCACTTACTTTCAACAAACCAACTGAAGAAGCAACTATGATATCTGAGGTATAGAAATCACTGTACAACTTTATGCTCCTCCTACAAAGCAAAGATTAAAAATGAGTTGAAATTCCTATCTATGTCATCTCTTTTAAATGTCTGTCAATAAATTTTTTGAAAGAAAACAAAAATAGCATGAAATTGTAATACAAAAGTGAATATAACTTTTAGCCCTCTTTGATAACTCACTCTACATTCAACATAAGAACATCATAAAAGGATGCCTTCATAAGATTCTGGTATGATTCTTCGTTACTTTAACTAGTGATTCACAATTAAAAACTGATTAAAAAGACCTTTTCAGCCGTGAAGGGTTCATATGTAGCTAATGTTGCACTAGGGCCAAAAGATCCAAAACCTCAAAATTCCAATTACAGTTTTGCAAGATACAATGAAGCCATCCAAACCATTAATAGACAAATTGGTGCTCACAATATCACAATAGTTCGACATACACAGAAGAATGCTTCTAAAATGATTCAGTAAAATATTCAAGTGACGGGGGATAGACACTTGCATTGCTGGCCACTAATGTTGCACTAACTTAATAAGTACCCAAACCAGATTAAACAGATGACTTTTTGAACGGTTCATGTTGCGTAACCACTGTTCTAAAAGTCGGCCTAGGTGGCGCCTAGGCGGTGAGCGGTGGAGGGCCAATGTGATTTAGGCCAAAACGTTGATGGAAATCGTGGAGGGTTTAGGCAGCCACCTAGGTGCTCTAGGTGGTGGTAGGTGGTCACTGGCCAGACTAGGCGGTCCATGATTTTGAAAGAGTCAATTCTGCACTCTGTCGATTTTTACAGAATTGCAGACATAGCTTATCTTCATCTGCTCGCATTTGCATCTCTCGCCGTCACTGCATCGCCAGACTCATACCCCATCGCACCTGCACTACATCTTTGTGCCGTCTTGTGTTGCATCTCTCACAATCTCACCACACCAGGTTTGCATTTTTTTTTTTCTAATTATTTTTCGATCGTTATTTTTCTTTAGTTCTGATTTTGAAGGAATTTCATAGGAAGCACAAGAAGGCAGTGGGTTCACTTTTCTTTTTTCTTTTCGGGAAAAAAGGTGTTCACTTCGAGGCATCACCAGAGTTACCAATGTCAAAACATTTTCCCTATAAAATTGTTTCTCTACAACTCATTTATCCCATACAACTTTTTAAGAAAAAACAAAAAATATTAGTTGTATTGTTTCTGTTTTGCATTTTATCTATTCCAAATTTTCTAGACAAGTATAGTTTTTATTTATTTTATTTATTTTTTATTTTTTATTTTTAAGTTTAAATAGTCACTTATTTATACAATATATAATATATTTACTCAAATCTACCTAGGCGCTGAGCCCGAACCTGCAGCCCGACTAGCGCCTAGCATCTTTTAGAACCTTGAGGATAACCAATGTTCAGTATTAAGTCCCCCAATTTAAAATAGTTAGATTTTTTACATTGAATAAGTTCATTTCTTTCTTTCTTTCATTGAAGCCTAGTGTTAAATTGAATTTTGATTAGGTACATTATTTTGAATATATACATATGTGATAAACTGTAGGTCCTATAATAAAATACATCAGCATGCATATATGCGTTATGTACAATATACCTACAACCATTAATTACATATAGCTTTGCGCTTCTGTATATTTTACGAACAATGTATCAAATCACAAAACACTATAACTCTTCTAAACCCATTTCCAGAACCAAAACATCAACTGTTTGATGCTCACATTGTCTAAATTACGTTGAGGCTCAAAACTTACATGTTCAACCAAAGATATACTATAGATACTTAAATGGCCACAAGATAAATGCAAGTCAAATCTCACATGTAATATGTTTTCTTTAACTTTTCACATTGCATAGAAGATTACACAACACCCTTAGTAAAGCGACAATAAGAGAAACTATTCACTAGATCGTCTTTACTATATAAAATAAAAAATAAAAAAAATAAAAATTCTCAAATAGTTTATCACCGTTATAAGTTAAAGTAACTTACTTAGTGAACTTGATGCCAACCATGAAGTCATCCTTGCTATTTCCTCCAAAAAGTACTTGAAAATCACTAGGCTTTGATGACTTACGAGGTCTTACAATTTCCAGGTCCTGGCCAGCTGGTGTTATCTCTTTTTCGTCCTCTGGTGTTATCTCTTTTTCGTCCTCGTTGTCATCAGTTCCAAACTCTCTAGAAAATCGATCCATGTGCTCCACATTGACCTGAGAAAGCAAACATATGGTATTAAGAACAGGGTAAATATACCCAATATATATACCCAATATTGACGTCATTTTCTTTAATTAAAAGATAGAAATTTTATATTTTTATAGTTTTTACCCAACAATTTCCCAAACTCACTCACAGAATTGAATCTGAAACTGGGTTCTCTGCCCACAATCTTTGGGAGGTTCATATAGCGAATAGTAAATAGCTACCTTGAGGAATTGAACCCCAGACCATGTGGGAGCAAACCACGGAGATTCAACTAAACCCTCATTAATTGATAGATAAAGATGATAATGAGAATGCAAGTAAAACTCAGAAATATTAATGTAGATGTATTCATACAATGATTCTGGCAGAAATTTAGCATAAAGGTTGGAATGTTCTTTAGCAACTAAAGTAGTACTCCTACTTGAGAGGTCATAGCTAGTTTGGTAGATTTCTTATCCACTTGTTGTATTTCCTTCTTTTGTTTTAATAAATTTCTATCGTTTCTTCTGGAAAAAAAAGTTTACCAAGATGAATACTTGATAATTGAGCTTTCAAGGAACAAAATGTAACAATGTAGCTTCACTAAAAGCAATCTCAACAATCCTAAACATATCAACATCCAAAGAATAAAAGAGTATGCCCTTGGAAGTCATGTGTCATCATATAAAAACAAACTAACAATTGTATCCTTTGCATTCTTCTACATAATAAAGGATCTGTTTAAATGTGTGTGCGGGTAGAGGAGCTGCATATGAGATATGTCGGACAATACACATCCATGTAGAATGAACACTGGCTCTGTATATACTCAAGGGGACAACCACCCTCATAACATGGTGAAAGCCACCCAAAAGACTCAAACCTAAACTAGTGGGACTCATAAAGTACTAAATTCTTAGGTTCTATGTCCATAGGGTAACTGATCTACGTATTTTCTAGTGATTGCATGTTTGTGGGTATAACTCCTAAATCAAAGGTAACAGAGATGCCAGAAATTAAATAAATAAATGAATAAAATTGAAAGTTTCTAAAAAAAAAAAAAAAAATTGAACAAGGGTAGAAAGAGAAGCAATGTGCAGGGAGCTAGGTAAAAATAGTCCATGAAAGCGGGGTGGGATGGGCACAACCCTCGTCAAAACATAATAAAGGATTCAATCTGACCTACCTCACATAGTACCCTCGAGAAATCCTCAGATATTACTTTTACATACAACATTTGTTGAGATCGACCAGTGCATAAATTGTAGAAGAAAAGAAGAAAAAATGAAAAGATATACCTTGTGAGCTGAAGGAGTAAGTTGTATTAGCCTCTTAACAACATGGAGTGCAATGCTTGCCATTGGCAATAGGATCAAAACCTGATAAAGAAATAAAGCAAAACCTCTTCACTACGCATGCAAATTACAATATCTCAATTTGAAGATATATATTATTTTCTCCATACTAGAGATATGCATTTTGTTTCAAGAGATAACTTTACAAGCAGCATAATGATGATAAGATCCAAAAGTATAGCCATACAACGTCACAAAATCAAATTGCAACAACTACAATAAATAGAAAGTAGTTCATAGTCACCAAACCAAGTGTGCCTAAATTTAAAACACAAAGCTCATATAGGACCGCAAACAAGATATACACTAAATGGCTTGTACAAAAAAAGAATATATACTATTATATGAATGACGTTATAAAAAGGATAGACACTGTTATAAGGAATCCAAGTCCAGTATTTATCACAAGAACATCACACTTGTATACCTTAGGACGAGTAAATCCATGATCAAGGAAACTATCATCAGTAAGAATTTCATTACAAGCAGTTTCTCGAAGCTTGGACACTTTTGCATCATTCTTCGTTACAAGATCTCTAGTTTTGAAGATATGATTCAGCTGCATAATAATTAATTATTATAAGATGAGAAAATTTCTAAAATAGAACATAAAGATATTGACATTTTTCAAGGGCTAGGGACAAGCACGTACACACTGCATAATGTATGCATCCATGACATTTGAGTCTTCTTCAGAGCCTCTGTGATAAAAGGGTTTTTTGTTGCAATGCAATATATCCCGATAGTTGTTGACTGAGGGACATGTAGATATCGACATAACCACAAAATGCCCAAAATGAGTCAACCCATACTACAATTGTAATTTGTAAACTTAAGAAACTTCATGACCACAAAAATTTAGGATAAAGAGAAATAAATAAATAAAAGTAGAATACAAAATCTGGATAAACTATAAATAAATAAAAAAAGAAGATAAAATCTGGATAAACTACAAACCAGCAAACCTAACAGATGACACTTTGTTAAAATCTATACGTTTTTCCCATTCATTTGATATCAGGATAAAGATAAAAGATAAAAGATAAACCATAGGTAAGGTTACCAAAAATGACAAACCAATAGAAATTGTAAAGCTTTCTCCTCATACCACCCAAGACATGAAATGAATGTCTATATATAGAATTATTTTTCCGTATTAGTCTATCATACCCACTTCTTCCCGTATATTCGTTTCTGTACATAGGACATCTTTTACGATCAAGATCAATAAAGCCTCATGGAAGCTGAAATTCCATCAATGATGAAATAGGAACGAAATTCCACTACTTGCTAAAATCTATATGTTTTTCCCATTCCCTTTGATATCGGGATAAAGAAAAAAGATAAAAGATAAACCATAGGTAAGGTTACCAAAAATGACAAAGATATATTGAATGCTAGTACATCATCCCCACTTCTTCCTGTATATCCCTTACTGTACATATGATGTTTTTATGGTCAAGATCAATAAAGCCTCATGGAAGCTGAAATTCCACTAATGATGAAAAAGGAATGAACCACTACTTGCACTTTCAACTCAAAAGACAAGCCTAACCCTATAAGGTAAGAACAGTCTATTTCGATTTAGCCTAGAAGAGATTAATTTTCTTGTTCAGAAGCTCCATAAGAAAATGTCAGATAAAATAGGACAATTTAGCATTAAAATTCCAGTCGCATAATTATCAAGGTGTTTTTTTGGAATAAAGTTGGAAGATTGAACCCCACCAGCTCCCAAAAAATATATAATCATATCAACTATTTATGGTAGTAGGAATTGAGTAGGAACATTTCAAACTTAATGATATAGATAAAGCCATTACACTAACAAATAGCCAGTGCAAGTCAAATTGGGCACACTCACACAGGGAGAAGAATAATCTTTGTCTAGATGAATGAAAATCATTCCCTCCAGATCTGTTATAGACATCTAACCAGTGCTTATACAACTTTTGCTTCAGACCATAACAAGAATTGGGGTCGTCATCCTGAACATAATACCCAAAGCAAAAAAATTAAGGGGCATATTATGATTATAATTGTAGAAACTGCAGAACAAGAACAAATTCAATCAAAACAGCTCAAGGACTGTAATGCATAGCAATACAAACAAAATTGAGTCCATAATGAATTTGAAAGGACAGCGCAATCTTTTGTTTTCTTTTCTATGGAAAGAAGTCCACAACATATGGAGAAATTACAAATGTGAAACCCAAGTGCACCCTAGAAAGGAGTACTTGACTCCTAGAGGCGCCTCAGAACCTTAAAAACCGCATTTTATATGCAACTCTTAAACGTCGCAGAACAGAGCACAACAAAACTAATAAGTGGAGGTCACGTAAGAACCAAAACAAGCTTAAAAAAACCCAAAAATACTGCCTTAATATCCTTTAGAGTTTAGCCATATGCAGCAAGTAGACGCTAAAAAAACTGAAAATAAACCCAGGACTTTAGGAAGACCGTTACCTAATCTTATATGCGGCAGAAACAGATTTACTAGATGATCCCAGCGTCATTAACAATTTATCATACATGGATGGCTCCTTATAAACCATTTCTTCTTCAGAAACCACACTGTTAGATTCTTCGTTTGGTAGTTCCCCTGTATTAGAATGATCGTGAATGTGAATATGAAAACATTGGCAATTAAATCATTATCTCCAATGCATTAACCAAATATTGATCCCCTAAGATAACGATTAGGTGGAAACTCTCTAAACAGGTACAAAGGGCAAGAAAAAAAAAAGCTAACTCTTTTACTAGATTAAAGTTCAACTTAACACACATTCGGACTTCCGATACACTATAAAAAGGTAAAATATAAGGTATGCCTGAGGAAGTAGTCGTGGGGCTGTGTGCAACATTTTCTTCTTCAAGACGACGACTTTTCTTGCTCGTGTTGAACTTGTTGGGTATTTTGCGTTTTCCAAATCCTGCTATGGGAACATAAAAATGTCTTACCAGTAAGTATTGCAATGGAAACAAAGAAGAAGCTACAGATTCAACGAAAATTACGAAGAATTCTGCATATTCAGTTCATGGGTAGGGCAGCCAAACAAAAACTTACCTGGGTTCTTGCCTGATTGTTTTCCCATGTTCAGAAGAAAAAGAAAACTGGAAACTTCGCGCCAGAAAAATCCCTCAATTCGAGTGCAGACTTGGTTTCGGTTAAACGACCGGAGCAGGATGAGAGTTTGTTAGAGTTGAATCCTGAGGTCGTTGAATTTAGATTCAAACAGAAAAACAAAGCAAACAAATTTTATTTCTATAGAAACGAAAAAAGAAATTAATTTTCTTCATCATTTTTCCTAAGTAATATTTCAGCTAGAAGTTTGCACCATAAGATTAATTTTTGACAAATTATGTATAGAATTCCACTTTCCCCATGGTTCGGAACACTCAAAACAGCAAAATCAAATCAGAAAAGGGAAAAAAAAAACTCAGAGTTGGAAGTTTACCGGTGTGCCTCACGGTGGCTGAAACTATGCTCGCGGTGGTGAAGGCGGGCTCTTGCAATCGTGTTGGGAGGAGACCTGCGGGTTAACGTGAAAGTGAAAGTAGGAAGTTTAAGTTTTTGGGGTTTAAGGATTTTTATTTTATTTTATTTTAGTTACTGTTACGGTTTCGGTTTCGGGTGTAGGGTTTATGTTTAAAAGCAACTCCACCGTGGTGGATTGCTCGGGGGACAGGCCAGAGAAAAGGGCCCGAGGCTCTGTGGATTCGCTCTAGCGTGAAGGAGCCCGAGTGGAGGTGGAGGCCCGAGCTCCGAGCCTATGAAGAATTGTCAACCTGAGAGCCCGAGTGGATGTGACGTCAGGGCTGACATCAGCCCAGTGTCAGGCCCTTTTTTTTATTTTTTTCTCTCAGGCGTGTGCACCCCACTCGCGCTTGGGGGTGCGTCGCCCGACATATTTTTAGAAAAATCAACCCACTTTTCAGACTGAAATGTTACCGTTGGGAAGCCACGTGGCTTCCCACGGTACGTTCGATCTCAACAACTCTTTAAAATGGGGCGTCCGATATGCAACGGTAATAAAAAAAAATTCTAATTTAATATCAACCGTTTGATCTGAGATCGAAAGTTGATATTAATCTGCTTTATAAATAAAAAAATAAAAGAAAAAATAGTTTTAAAATTAAGAAAAGTTACCGTTGTGACACGTGACACAATCTAAATTGTTGGAATTCAAATATTTTTTATATCCAAAGGTAGAGATTAATTAGTTGAATAAAAATTTTCAAAAATTGTAAAAAATTCGAAAAAAAATCTGAATTTTTTTTTAAAAAAAATTGTTTTTACTTTTCTATAAATACCTTCTCATTATCATTTACCTTACACCAAAATTTCATATTTTCTCAACTACTTTCAATCACATTCCTTTCTTTCTCTCAAAGTTTCAATCCATTTTTTTTCAACAAAATGACTATTGATGCAGGTACGAATTGGTCGCTTCTTGAAGATGTTGCGTTGTGTACTAGCTGGGTTGAAGTTACTCATAGTTCGCTTACGGGTAATGAGATGCAGTTGCGAGAAATGTGGAGTGTTATTCATACCAATTATCTTGAGAAAATTGATGGGAAAAGAACCAAGGAATCGATGTCCAATCGTTGGAAATTACTTAGCCAATCGTTTAGTACGTGGAGAGACGCTTTGGCCAAAGATTGTAAACAGATTATGATACGTGGCGCGACGTGATTGGTTAATAATCTTATTAGAAATCCGTCACCAATAATTGTATTTTCAGATAATGACACGTGACATGTCGTCAATCGTTAAAAATATGATGGAACTCTATCCTCAAAGATTGTAAACATATTATGACACGTGGCGCAACGTGATTGGTTAATAATCTTATCAGAAATCCATCACCAATAATTGTATTTTCGGATAATGACATATGACGCAACGAGTACGATTAAAAATCTTATCGGAAATCCATCCCCAATAATTGTCTTTTCGGATTTTATGTCAAGTGGCACAACGAGAACAATTAAAAATCTTATTCAAAATTACAAATAAAATTATTTTGTATTATTTAATAATACTTCGGATAATGACATGTGGTGCAACGAGAACGATTAAAAATCTTATCCAAAATTACAATTAAAATTATTTTGTATTATTTTATAAATAAATAAAATACTAATATTTTATTGACTATTGTCAGGGCTATTGAAGTGCAACGGTGGAGATGCAAAAGGCGATTACTGTTCATTAAGGGCAGTTACTGGTCACTAGGCGGATAGCATAGTGTATTGCCTGGGGGGAGGTTTCACATGCTGGAGTTGCTCACAGTGGTGGTAGTAGGGCTGGGCACCGGCCGGGTCATGCTCAAATTTGAAGGAATTGGATCGGATATGTTTTAAATTGCAATGGGACGAGATGAGCCGGGTAATGGAATTTCTAAATTTGGAACTGAGCCTAACCTGGCCCGTTTCGGGCCAGGTCCATGGGTCCAATTACCTTTTCTTTCTTTTTTTTAAGATCAGATTTGGCCCCTTTGGGTCCAAGTACAATTTTTTTTTTTTTTTTTTTACAAATTTTTTTCTTATGGTCTTTTTCCTATCATGTTTTATTAGCGCACTTTCCAGGCACAAGGAAACTAAATGCAGATGGGTAACATAATTTACTAGAATTATAGAATTTTCCAGTAAATTTTCTCACCAACCGAACATAATCTAATTACATAACTTGGATTTACAGAAACGTTGCACAAATCAACATAATCTAATTAAAAATACCCGTCTGAAATAGAAGATTCAAATGTATACAAGTCTGAAACTATCACAAGACATCCATATATTCAAATTCAATTTAATTCAACAGAAGTTTCAAATTCAATTCAATAAAAATTTGAAATTGGAACAGAACAGAGGTCAAGGTTCAAGAACCCAACAAAATCCCTAAATCTAGAAAACCCTAATTTAATTTTCAATCCTAAATCCCTACAACGTAATACCTTAAAAACTAAAGATGACTATTAGCAAAGCTCGTGGGTTGCAAATATGGGTTAGAGTCAGACGGAGGAGATGACTAATTGTCGTTTCGAGTGTTCAACTTCGTCGTTCGTCCCTTCGAGTTTGATAGAGAAAGACACTGATTTCGAGAGAGTGAGTAAGGAGGAGAGACTGAGGTTTGATGATGATGGTGGCGGATGGAGCGAGGAGGGCAGGAGCGAATGAGGAAGAAAGATTGAAGTCTGAGTGAAAGGGGAGAAGTTGGGAAGAGAGATCGAGGTCTTAGATGGATGGCTACTCAACTCGAGCTTGAGTCGTGAATGAATGGGAGAAAGGGAAACATAATTATTCAGTTTATGTCTGAGTGTTTATCTAAGAAGACTGGGATAAGGAAGAAAATTCAATAATAGCCTATATTCCATGCTAGAATCGAGCCGGGCCAGGGGCCCATTCCCACCTATTTTAAGATATGCCCCGCCCCACCCTGTCCCATTTTGTGTCTAGAAATTTTGCACCTGCCCTGTACTCACCCCAAAACGCCAGTACCAGCACCAACCCGCGAGTCCAAGACCCTGTTTGCCAAGCCCTAGGTGGTAAAGCTTACACAACTCGTTAAGCTAATAATTTTTTACCCAACTCGTTAATACCACACGAAAATAATGAGTTTCAGGTCAATACGATAACTAATCAAGTCGTTATCGAGAAAGCCGTTAAGAACCCGTTAATAACGGGTCCTTAATGGGTTTACACATAGGTAACCTATTAAGAAAAAAATATTTTTATTATTGTTGGAGGACTTTTAGGTCGAGGCAAACTTGGGCTTTGCAAACATCTTCTTGCCTCCTTTGGTTTGCTTTCGTACCAAGTCTTGGAATATCTCAAAAGAATTAGCACATCTTAGGAAATATTCTCGTTAGATCAATGACTCAAAGATAACATGATTAAGCAAATAATAGCTTGCTCAAGTGAGACATGGTATGGAAGCTAGAAACTTATCAGTTTAGAAGAGAAAGAGAGTTTGCATGGTTGTAAGGTGTTCTAGGCTTGA